TGCCTGCCCAAGCTCCCTGAGTTCTTACTGCTTAAGCTCCTTGGAGAAGGGGTAGCTGGTACTTGCAGCCCAGAGCATCCTCACTGATCCACATACTTGATCGTTTTACCCTCACAACAGCTCTGCAAAGGAGGTCTCTAACACCACCCCCATTTCACATGAGGACATTGAGGCTAAGCGAGAGGGAGGGAGCAAGTGGTAGTAAATAATAAAGTGGGGACTTTCACTAATTATACGAGAGATGCAAATCAAAACGACAATGCGTTATCATCTCACACCTGTCAGAATGGCTATCATCAACAAATCAACAAACAACAAGTGTTGGAGAGGATGTGGAAAAAAAAAGGAACCCTTCTGCACTGCTGGTGAGAATGCAGACTGGTGCAGCCACTGTGGAGAACAGTATGGAGCTACCTCAAAAAACTAAAAATGGAACTCCCATTTGACCCAGTGATCCCACTACTAGGAATATATCCCAAGAAACCAGAAACGCCAATCAGAAAGGATATATGCACCCCTATGTTCATAGCAGCACAATTCACCATAGCTAAGATTTGGAAACAGCCTAAGTGCCCATCAGCAGATGAGTGGATTAGAAAACTGTGGTACATATACACAATGGAATACTATGCTGCGGTAAAAAAAAAAAAGGAACTCTTGCCTTTTGCAACAACATGGATGGAACTGGAGAGCATTGTGCTAAGTGAAATAAGCCAGTCAGAGAAAGATAAATACCACATGATCTCACTCATTTGTGGGTTATAGAGAACAACATAGACTGATGAAAAGGGACAGATCCAAAGACTGAGAAACAGCGATCAGGCTATCAATCCCCAGAAGGAAAGTAGGGGAGGGCGCGGGTAAGGGGAAGAGATCAACCGAAGGACTTGTATACATGTATATAAGCCAAACCAATGGACATGGACATGGGAGCATGAGTGTGTGGGGCGGGGGGGGGGGGGGGGGGAGGTTGGGAGTTAATGGGGGGGGGATGAGGACACATTTGTAATACCTTAACTAATAATAATTTTTAAAAAATAAAGTGGGGACTTGAATTCAGGTCTTCTGATCCCAAACTCAGTATTATGTCCACAACACTGTACCTGTTCACAAATAAAGTCTAACTAGTGAATGAATGCTGGCTAGTCCTTGACTAACAACCACATCAGATGAATAAGAAGGGATGAGACTCAGGCCTTGTGCAATGCTAATGAGGAAACTTCAGCTGCCATCTTTTACGTCCCAGGCTGTGCACTAAGCACTTTACACTGCAGTGTTCACTGGCTCTCGGCCATCCTGTGAGATGGCATCATTTATCCCTAGAAGAGAGGAGAGCAGAGGCTTGGAGAGGTAAAGTGATTTGCTCTGCTGCATGTGGGCCTGCTGGATTCCAATCATTCAGTTCCTCCCAGTTCATGGGGGGGGGGGGGGGTCTCAGCATAGGTGGCAGTGCTAGCCCCGCACCTACTCGGTGGTTTTACCACGTCTGCAGAGTCCAGGTGGCTGGGTGCTCCTGGGAGACTGCACACCTTCCTCCTGCACTTACACCAGGAGGCTTGAAACCAGACTTGGGAGGGGAGGCTGGTTTAGGAGCCACATCCCCTTCCTGGGCAGGGGCTCCTGGGTCCAGAGTCCAGGGCATGAGCAGGGATCCCTCCAGGCACTTCTGGTTTCAGGATGGCAGCTAAGGATCCCGACATCTGCCCTCAGGTAAGGGTCTCCTGGACCTCCTCCATTACCCCTCTCCGGCTTCCCACCCAATACTTCCTCTTTCCTCAGGCCACCCCCAACTGAGCTCACACTCCTCTTCACACCAGTTCCTCCTTGATTCCCCAGGGACATGGCAGTGCCACCCTCAGGTCCCCTAGTCCATCCACTACTGGACTGAGGTCCACCCTCCTCCAGGAGGCGCTGTCACCACTCCCATGGGCTGGATAAGCTCTCGGCCCCTGAATGCAGTCTCTGGTACCTACCCTACTGCCTTGCCACCTATCATTACTCCATGAAATCTCATCTAATTATTAAATTGATATTTTATGTTAAAAGGGTACAAAATTGGAGTTGAGCTCCTCTCACCCCCCTTAAGTGAATATCCTAGGCCTCTACATCTTTAACCAAATGCTGGTCTCTCCAAATGGGTGGCCTCAGAAAACTTATTCCAAGATGCTTTCTCATGGAGGGGGTGGCCATGGCTCCCGTTCTGGAATTCTCCTCTGGGGGCTGCCTTCCAAGGGTCTCTCAGGCTGCCCTCTGCTGCAGGGGTAAAGGAGGGGGAGGGAAAAAATGGTTTCCTGAAAGCAATCACCGTGGACACTGAGTTTACGCCCACCCGGGCAACAGCAACAAGAACTTGGACAACATCCAGGAGCATTCAGGGTCTTATCTTTAGATATTCACAACACTGAGAGGTCTGAGGGACAGTGGTGATTTCTGTCCCCTCCTACAAAGGTCCCCACTCCCTGACCCCTCACCGCTGTCCCCACATCTGCTCTGGGCATGAGACACTTAGCAAAACATGCTGAAAAGTGCCGAGTGAGTGGGGCCAGAGGGTGGGCTCTGCCCATGCTGTCTTGGATGAAAGGATGTGGGGCCCATTGCCTGGGCTGCAAAGGAAAATAAGGGGGGAAACTTCCTCCCTTCTGCACAGCCCACCACTGTCTGTCTCCAAGTTACAGCCACTAAGGATTCAGCTCCATTTCAGGCTTCTTGGGCCTGAGCAGCAACCATCTCTTATGGACTGAACCAGCCCTCCCTCATGGCCCTTTGGTAGATAAAGGCTGACTAGAGTTTATTAATTCCCCCAGGCTGCACCCTCCCCCTTCTCCAGCTCTTCCTCTCCTTCAATTGTCCACATCACCTGGCTCTCCCAGAAAGCCCCTCCTAGTTAATGCCCCCATTGCCACAGCCCCAGCCACCCTAGACTCTTGTCCCTCAGCCTTGGAGATTCTGTTCCTCTGTCCAAGCGAACAGTTCTTGCCTTTCCAGTTAAACAGGAATAAAAACCCATCACACCCGGAGGGCACTTTAGGCAGTGGTTCTCAACCTTCACAGCACAGGAGAATCTCTTGGAAAGTTAGAAGAAAAAAAAAATTCCTGAGATCAAGTAGCTCAAAGCCTCTGGGGCAAGGGGGAACTGGTTAAGCTCTCCGTGATCGCAACGGCGCCATGGCTGAGACTCCTTGCTGCAGACCTCTAGAGTCTGCCTCAAACACTCAGTCTTCTGGGCCCCTGCCCACCTGGGAGGGGATGCGGGACAGCTGTTACCTTATTCTAAGAAGAGAAAGATGAGGCTCAGGAGAAAGATGTTGCTACCAGCAGGGCTGGCTGGGACTTGAAGCCAAGTGTCTGCATCCTGGGTCCAGGGCTTCCACTGCTGCCTCTGTAGCTATGCCCAGTGCAGAGGGCAGAGGTGGCTCCCAACCATCTGCCCTGAAACAGCTAACATGGTGCCAGGCATATGCCAGGGCTCTGGCAGCTGGATACTAAGGCGATGGGAGGGCTTCCCTGCTGGGCCCAATGTAGAACCAAGGTTGAGAATCTGTACTAGAGGCATAGGGATGAAGTGGGAAGGGCCTGCAGAGGCCCTATGGCCTGGGACTTACCAACTGCACTTGGGGGGCCAAGGACCTGCCAGACTCCCCCACCCCATCCCGTTTCCCTCTTCTCCCATGTGCCATATAAAATGAAAGGACACACAAAAAAGGGAGGAGCTTTAGAACTAAAAAGAAAGAACCAAACCTGCAATTGTTTCCTCTTCCAACACCAGGCCTGACACAACAAGTAGGGTTATGTCGCTCTCTGGTGGCAGGCAGGGCCTGAGTACAGCTTCCATTCTCCATTCCCAGAAATTCCTGGCCAAATAGCCTCTTCCCTTTCAATTAAGAAAATATTTTAGGACAGAGAACCTGCCATATAAGATGCAATAAATGCCTTATAGCCCTCTACCCAATCCTGGCAGGCTGCCTTGATTCCTGCATCTCACACTGAGCACAGGAGTCAGGTCAGTGCAGTGATCATGAGCTTGGGCTATGAAGCCATAGAGAAGAGAGGCCAGCTCCTCTAGCACTCCTCGCCGGGGCTGGGGGAAAGTCACTAAAGCCCAGCCTCCTCACATGCACAATGGGGACAACAGAGGACCTAACTTAGAGGGTTTGTGAAGATCAGAGGAGCTGCCCCGGAAAATAACCATGGCTGACTTCCAGTAAGGGCTCCAGGCAAGCTGGCAGTATTAAAGGTCTGGGTGCCCCCTGAGCAAATAAGACATCCTCATCCTTACCACACCCCGTTTAGACACTAACAAGTCATGCTTCTCTCTTTGCTTTGGGTTTGGGGGCTTACAGACAAATGAGGGATTCCCCAGAGCACTTCAGTAGGGCTTCGTGATTTAAATTGAGCCTTTTCCTTGGTATTGACATTCTACTCTGATTTGTTCTTGATCATTTCTTTATATTTCACTGCTTTCGTTAATTCCTATAATTCTCCTTGAATCTTTTCTGAGATAGGATGTAAACAAGTACGGCCTTACTGGGGACTTTATAAGTTTTGTTCTTCATGCATATACGCTGAACTAGTTCAGCATACATTTGCAAATGCTACCACCTTTGATTAACACAAATATTCTAATTCAGAAGGTTTGGGGTAGACTCCCAAGAATCATAATTAAAAGTTTCCTAGCTGCTTCTGAAGCAGCCAGACCTGCCCCTAGCCATGGAGCAATGTCTGAGAATGTCTGGCCTGAAAACATCAAAAAGGGGATCATTAGTCTGGCTTTGAACCAGGTCCACCTATGAACCAGGAGGTCAGGGTTTGATTCCCAGCAGGGCATGTGCCTGGGTTGTGGGTTCGATATCCCCAGTCGGGTATGTGAGAGAGGCAGCCAATCAATGCTTCTCTCTCATCATTAATGTTTCTCTCTCTCTCCCTCTTCCTTCCTCTCTAAAATCAATAAAAATAAATAAAAAGATCATTAGTTACAATGAATGTCGTTTCTTTACAAAACGTAACATTCTAAATAAAACAAATCTCAATTTTATTCAACTGATGTGTTTAAAAAACAATGGGTTTAAGTCCAAATTTGCAAATAAAACCCATTTAAGTTCATTAGGGCAGACGACTTAGGAAAAATCCCAGCAATGAAGCCTATGAAAGTCAAGACTCTCCAATTTATTTGGTCTTCGAATTTGGCTTTTCTTAAGGTGGTCACACGAGTAAATGCCACAGAAAAAAGATATTCCCAAGTTCCTTGACAACCCACTTGTCTTAAACCACAGCAGGCAAACCTTTTACCAAAAGCCCGGACAAGGTCACAGAGACTGTCAACTGGAGATTCTTGCACCAGCTCAACCTGGTAATTCACCCTGACTCCACTAGATGGTGCTCCTGCCCTGGCCTTGGGCCCTTCCCTACAGGCCTACATGGGACTGCGGAGACAGAAGAGTGCGTGCGTTTCTCACAGACACACTGAAGCCACAGTTCCCTAGCCAGAATGGAAGACCCACAAAATGCCTCCACAGTTTTTATTACAGAGTAGGGAGAATGGCTCTGAAGGTCAGGGAAGGCCTTACTGCTGGTTCATCAAGGCTAACAATCACTATAAAGGCAAGTGTGGAAACACAGTGGTGCACACTACAAACAGATGTCACATCAGCCAATGGGGGGGGGGGGGGGGGCGAGTGAGTTTTGCTCTCCCAGAGTTCAAGTCCAAAATAGCTTAGCTGCTCCTTTTGCACCTTCCTCCAAAGTGCACTGTCTGGCAAGATCCGGTGTCCAGGTCTGTGCAGTTTAAAAAAAACCCAAACCCATTTTATGGACTGCTAAGAGGCCTATGCTGGGTCCTGAGGACGGCAGAGTTGCTGGATGTGAGGGAAATTTCAAACTGTACCTCCCCAAAGTTAGATCTCAGTCTGAAGATGCCTCAACCCCTCTCTCCACCCTCCATTTTCACTCTGTCAGGGCCTTCAATTCTTTTACGAAGGGGTCATGGATTCTCCCTTCCTTGAAAACCCATGGGCCAGAGCAAAGGAGATTCCACCAAAAGTGTGAAATCAGTACCCAGGAAACTCGGGTTAAAAATCTGTGACTATTAAGAAACACTTACCAAAAGGGGATCTATGCCACAGATGTTGCTTAAAAGACCAATACTGCTACAGAAACAGGAGGGAGGTAAAAAGGGAGGTTGAATGGAACACACACAGAAAAGGGAAAGACAGAAAACAGTCCACGTGGTGAAATAAAGACAGTAGGTGGAGCAACACCATCTAAGGTGGCAATAATACTGACCGGGTTTCCAGTCTGGGAGATTCTGAGTGCTAGCTTATGTCTCGCTGTAAGGCTACTGAGCATAGGGCTGGGAGGGCCTGCCATCGATGAAAACAATATGCCAACCAGGTCTTTCTGGTACTTTCAGCAATTAATTAAAACAGACAGACTGCCTTTACAATAAAGTCTACGATGCACCATTCCTAATCCAGGGTTGGTCAGAAAAGGGAAAAGGATCTGGTCTCACAAGGACACCAGAGACAGTTTTAGGGTGGCACCTGCCCACACTGGCTAGGCAGAGGGGGGGCTTGGCTGGCAGTTAATATATTACAAGGGAAGAAAAGAGAGCCAAAGAGATAGGGATGTTAAAACTAGAGATGAGACTGCAATGGACAAATCACTAACCTTTGCTCACAGCTACTTTCTAAGAGGCCAAAGCCCAACAAAGCCTGGACATGGGTGCCAGGCTGCAGTCTTGGAACCTTAAAAGCCAACTATTCCAGTAACTAGGGTCTTTAGTCTTAAGACTGCACATGCCCAGAGAATAACAGTGGCCTAGGTTTAGAAAGAAGCAACACCCAACAGCTGTAATGTGGAAAATCTTACTCGTCAGCAACCGCACCAATGCCCGTTTCCTCTAGGGAGCTGCTCTGGGAAAAGGTGACAAGTAGGAGCTGTCAGTCATCTGCATGTCATTTTGGGGGTGAAGTGGCTAGTTGCATGTGAATCCATTTACTATAATGAATGCAGGGAAAGAAGACCTCTTTCCCCTCCTTCTCTCCGCTTCTGCTCCATCCTGTCCATTAGGAGCCGGAAAAGCTGGATGATGACAAAGTGTGGACAGTCCTGTCCGAAAGGGTCACTGTGAAAGCCCTCCGGGACACGCATATATGTGGACAAAACCACCAAAGCCATTCTTTTCCTTTCCTTACTTCATCCCCTACCATTACATCACCTCCTCCCCCAGTGAGCGAGAGTGACAAAGAGAGAACAGGTACTTCGTTCATTTCCTTGCATCCTCTCCAAGATGTCACAAACAGAGCAGGTTTGAAACGCTCACTGGGTTACAGATCACAATTACTTCTGAGTGGTTTTCACAGTTAAGACGGACATACATTTTAAAACATGGCCTCTGGGCCCCCCTTCTCTCTTTCACGCACACATACACAGTCACACACGCTCATGAAGTGGGAACGTTGTCCAGCTGCTGGGCTTAGCTGGCTCATGTCAGGTACTGCACCACGAAGAACATAACCACACAGGTGAGCAGCATCCCACCAATCATAAAGTACTTGTCTTGGAAAGCCCGCTTCTCGATGAGCCGCATCACCGTGTTGGACAAGCCCAGCATGTTGGCAATGTCAAGGATCCTCTTCTGAGTCCCCTGGGGCAGAAAAGAGAAAGAAAAACAGGGGGGTGAACATTGTTATGAGGTGGGGCTTTACCAACAATAGTCTCTTAGTCAAGCCTAAAGCATATACAAAGCAGCATCAACCACTCTCATGTGGTCAAATGACTTTTGATCAAGATACCAGAGCAACACAAGGGGGAAAGAAAAGTCTTTCCCACCAATGTGCTGGAACAACTGGTTTTATAATAAATATCACATGTATGTATTACACACACACGTCTTATATAAATTATATATAAGTATCTATGTATATGCATATATATTTGTGTAAAAAAATAATCCTCGACCTGGGGTGGAGGTGGGCTAGTAGGGGTCAATAGGGGGGGAAAGGGGACATATGTAATACTTTCAATAAAGATTTAATTAAAAAAAATAAAAGATCCTCGATTCATATTATATATAAAACTTAATTTGGATTATAGAATTAAATATAAAAGCTACAACTGTAATAAAGCTTCTAGAAGAAAACAAAGGAAAATATCTTAAAACTGGAAAGAATGCAGACGTCTAACACCAGAGGATGGATCAACAACTTATGATACATTTGACAATGGGATACTACTTGACAATAAAAAGGACCTAATTATCAACATGTAACAGTATGAAAGAGCCTGGGAAACACTGAGAAGAAGCCACACACAAAATAGTAACATGAATACATTTATATGAAGTTCAGTAACAGGCAACATTAATTGATGGTGAAATAAATCAGAACTGTGGTTGCCTGTGGAAAGGGGCAGACTGACCTGGAAAGGGCACCAGGGATCTTTTAGGGGCGATGAAAACAGCCTATGCCTTGATATAGTGTGAATTACAAAGATGCATGCATTTGTCAAAATTCAACGATCTATACAAACAAGATCTGTATACCTCCTTGCATGTACATGATACCTCAATAAAAATTTTAAATTAGAATATTTTATATTAAAATAGTCTCTGCTCCCTAGCTCCAAAATCCTTGCTATCAGGATGCTGCTGAGTATAACACGTTGGGCTAGTGCCCAGGTTTAAGAGAAGGTTTGAAGTGGGCAAGATGGAATGACAGAAACACAACTGACAGACACCAACACAATGATCTAAAACCCCTTATATACATATCACCACACACCACCAAAAACAAAAGGGTGTTTTATTCCTAAACCAAGAGCCCAAACCACCCAGCCTGCTCTTCCTCTCTGCTTTCTAATTTTCATTTTTAATCACGTTCAAATTCTTATGAAACAAGAAATATAGATGAATGCGGGGGAGACCCCAAGTTACTTCACACATCGCCAACTGCATCTGTATGGATGGCATCTAACCTAATGCCCCACACCCATTTTTTAAATGAACAACACATTAACGAGCAAACGAGAAGCAGCAAGAGAAACGAGAATGACACGAGGCACTACGGACAGGAATGCAGACCTACGTACTGCCCAGACAATGATCTCAAAGCCTCACTGAGAGAGATCTCACAAGCCAAACTTGATTATTGCCAGAGGAGAGCAGAGACATGCTTTTCCACATAGCGATGGTGAATACCAGACTCTAAGATTCTGTTCAGCTCTGAAAGTGCGTATTTCCTCACCATCTGAAGTTCAAGCATAAAGCTTCTAAAATCACCTAAAAGTTACCGTAACTTTTCCCAAAAATAAACATTTTCAACCAGGAATTCTCCCAAATCATGGCCCAGCTCCTTTATGTTCTCTCCCATGTTAATTTCAAACAGTTAAAGCCAAAAACTTCCCTTACAGAGGTGGGGTGGGAGACAGGTGGAGGGAAGAAGGCAGATGGTGGTGTGTGTAGAGGACACGGGATTAGCAACTTCATTCCAGCCTCTGACCACCTCACAAGCTTCCTAGCACTTCACTGCCGGGGACCGTGCAGGGGCAGGAGTTGCTTGCACTCCTCAGTGATACCAGACTGCAGTAGGAAGCCAACATTCTCCTTAACAATAGGCTCTAACCCCCACTGCTCGAGGTTAGTGTGACATGCTGAGCCCTGTCCTAAAAGGGTTTTACTGTTTTTCTGAGATATGGGAATGAGGCCAGCCGTGTTCTACAGAAAGGGCGGATTAATCAACGTGTATCGGTTTAGATTACTGCAGGTGGCTGTTCTGAAAGGAGGGCACCGTGAAGCTGTCGGAGACCACACTTCAGGCCGTCAGCAGGAGGTTACATGTCACTCGTGGCTTGCCTGACCTTCCCCCTGGTAAAGGTGGCAGAAATGTACTGAAGGCCCGCGGAGCTGATCGCCTCAACATGGTCCAAGAAAAACTAAGATAAAGCTCACGCTTCCGAGGGACTGATTCTCACAGCTCAGTGGCTGGGAGTGCTTCGTTCACAGGGAACCACACCCTGATAATAAGGCCCAGTCCACACCCCATTATCCATCAGAGTTGATACAGGAAAAGGGCTGAGGCTGAAACATCACGACTGACATCAGAGTCTGTGTAATGTTTCTGTAAACTACTCCCAGAGGGTTGGAGTCTCAGCCAATGAGGCAGGGCTTCCAGCAATACCTGGGGCTAAAGAGTGGGTGAAGAGTTGCTGGGGATCACTAGCATGTGCTCTAGAAGCTCTCTCCTGCTAAACAACCTGGGCAGCCCTGAGACCCCACCCCTGGGGGTTCAGTTACCACAGCACAGAAAGGTCTCAGTAATAAAGCAGTCCACGCAGAGGCCCTTACGAGAAAACACCTGACTGAGAGGTGCCAAAGTACAGCCACGTCTTCTTTCTATGAGTGGATTAAATAACAATTTCTTAGTCTATTATCGGTTCCTCTCAGAGCAGCAGTCACCTTCAGTAAGTGGGACAAGACTTGGATATCAAAAGATGCCACATTATGATTCGTTGCAAGCACAAGAAATACCTACTGGCAAAGGCAATTGGGCTACTGTTGGACTCATAATAATTTGACACCAAAGGAAGGATCCCAAACTAAAGGGCTCCGTCTCACCATCACTGTATCACAATTGGGGATATGTAATCAAAATGCAAATGCAGGTACCAAGCTGTTGGATTAGGCCAAAACAAGAGGCCTTCTCCCTGTCCCCCAGCAGGGCCCCCACCTTCAAGGTCATTCTCTGGGCCCTCAGTCCCTCCAGAATACTGTGCCCGCCTCCAATGAGGTCATCCATGCCGTGGTGAATGTTCTGGAGGGAGGAGTTAAACTGCAGTGATTCATCCATTGGTATGGTGGTGTCAGAGTCCTGTGAAAGAAACGCAGGCACTTGATTAACTTTGCTTGCTGGTCAGCCCCTGCGGTCCCACCGAGTCTGACAGCTCTGCCTGTTGGTTAAGGCCCAGCCAGAAGAATAGCCAGAGGGAATGGTGCAAGAATCAGAGGAACCTAATAGAGAGAAAAAAAGCAAAGCAACGATCTGGAGTGGCCTCTGTCCCTTTCCTCAATCCCATTACACGAGTCTTGTTTATTCCCGCCTCTTGTCATTACCTCCACTTGGGAAAAGCGATTCCTTCAAGACCTCATGGGCTTCTTTCAAAGTCTTTCTGTGACTGCTCACGAACCTAGCTTGTTCCAAATGTTCCTTTACTTGGCTTCCCCTTAATACCACATGAAATGTTTGCTTTTGTTCTTTAGCTATTTTATCCATAGCTTATCCCTCCACCTAGAGTGACACTGACTAAGGACAAAAGAGACAGTGCTTTCTTAATGACGCCCAAATAATGTTCAGACAGGACTGGTCTCCTGAGCAGGCAAGAAAAATCTGCATAAAAAGGAAGGGAAACAAAACTAATACTGATCAAGTACTTTCCACTTTGCATGCTCATTACCCTAAGCTCACGTAATCCTCATCCTAACCTTATGAGGTAGTTAACATATTATCCCCATTTAGAGATGAGGAAACTGAAGCCCAGACAGTTGGAATAACTTGTCTAAGTTCTCACAGAGCTGGTAAGAAGTCCAGGAAGGCATGAATCCCCATACTGAGTGCAGAGTCTGCTCTCTTGGCCATCCTGTCAGGAGAAACATCAGGACCACTCCTAGGCTCTAAACTGAAAGTGCACTGTACCCAGAAGCAATTCATGACCAGCCATAATACTGTTCTCTTTCCTGCCTCCTGATGACTACAAACTCTTCTGTCAACCAGAGCCATTCTTACCACATGTCCTGAGCCACCCAAGGACATGTTCATTGATTTTTAGAGAAAGGGAGAGGAAGGTGGAGAGAGAGAGAGAGAGAACATCGATCGGTCTCCTACATATATCCTGCCAAGGCCAGGGACTGAACGTGCAACCTAGGTTTGTGCCCTGACCAGGAATCGAACTCTCGACCTTTTGGTGTTCAGGACGACATTCCAATCAACAGAGTCACACCAGCCAGGGCTACTTTTACCACTTTTAATCATTACAAAGAGGTCAAACCACCTTTTCTTTGATGTTCAAGTTCAAAATTATTAATGCACACATTTTCAATTCCCCTTGCCAACAGAGGATTTCTCACCCCTCTATTCTCAGCACCTTAAACAGTGTTCTACATACAGCTAATGCTCAGTGGGTCACAAGACTGCAGTGTTTGAATCAATTAAAGACTTCATTTATTTGGCAAGCATTGATTGAATGCCTTTTACATACAAATCTTTCTTACTTTCCCACCTGAAAGGGTAGAGCTGATGAGCACTATCTCTCAGAAAAATGTATGATAGTTCCAGATCATAGAATAAATAGGAAGAAGTTCATTCAGCAAGTCCCCAGCCTAAAAAATGCCTAAGTTGCCAAAACCGGTTTGGCTCAGTGGATATAGCGTCAGCCTGTGGACTGAAAGGTCCCAGGTTCGATTCCAGTCAAGGGCATGTACCTGGGTTGCGATCACATCCCCAGTGGGAGATGTGCAGGAGGCAGCTGATCGATGTTTCTCTCTCAGCAATGTTTCTCTCTCTCCCCCTCTCCCCCTTTCTCTCTGTAAAAAATCAATAAAATATATATTTTTTAAGAAATGCCTAAGTAACAATCAAAAGCCCACATAACATCTTCCAGAGTGTCATAGAGTTCATTACACTATTGAAAATCAGCCATGCTTACCACTATACCACCAACACGTCTCCATCACACTTTTGAATTGTTAGTCATTGTTACTTGACTGCTTACTCTAGAGACACAGAAACTACAGAGGTACATTCTGAAACACTTGTGGAAATTTACTACAAGTGTGCACACAGCAAAGAGTTAAACATCTGAAAATTGGGAACTTATTTGTTCTGATGTCAGGCTTTAGAAAACAAACATCTCCATAAACACACACACACACACACACAAACAAAACAAAACAACAAAACAAAAAACGCCCCAAAACCCACCTCTTTTGGTGGAATATAATATGTAGAACACAAGAAAAAGGTCAGTATGTCCTATATCATGTGCAGAAAATGATCCTATTGAAACCAAAGGGCAGGGACAATGGTGTTCTGCAAAATCAAACATGAAAACCAATAGGCCACTTTCAAACAGGCTCAAAACAAGTAATCCATCTAAAACAAAAAAATCTGTTAACGAATTCCTCCAAAACTGCTGCTCAGACTAGGGACAAAAACATTGTAATGCACCTGACACTGGAACCACACACATACTCAGCACAAAGGCAACTGCCCGAAGGCAGCTTTGAAATGCTGCCCTCACTAAAAATGGCCTAAGTTCTAATCATCTGTCTCTATCTGATCAGAAAAAACGTTTCTACCATGTCAACCACGACCTCTCTGCATCGGCCCAGTCAAACCAGGCAATTTTCACCCCCGCTCATTCCCTCAAGTTAACTGCTTCCTCTTCAGGTTTCTGTGTTAGAAAAAGAGATTGATTCCCTATCTAGTTATAATCTCTGTGGCGGTGCACAAGGTCCACTGTCATTTCCAGTTGGTCTCCTCATCAGTCTGCTTCAGACATCACCTATAAGGATGACGCTCGGACCCTGAGCTCCAGCTTCAATGAGCTGTCAAGTACCTGCAGACTCCCACCCCAGCGCCTATCTTACGTTGGGGGTGAAGGTGCGAGACAGAAGCTCCTCTCGCTGTCTCTCCTGCTGCTCCCTTGCGTATCGCCGATGCTGAAAGTTTCTGAGAGCAGTCTGCAGGTGCTGGACATCATACTTTAACTGGTCAACACGACTGGAATTGAGAGAGATCGATGTTACATCCCAGGAACCCAGGGTGGCACAATTTGAGGTCACCAGGCTTTGTATTCAGGAAAGAAGACTTGCCTTACTTCTTCTCCATGCCATCCCCCCACCCCAAATAATCTGATTTTGATCAATGATGTTGAAAATAAAGAAGTAGCTTGTGGTTAAAGTAGGGTTGTAGCACACGAGATTCCAACAGCTTTACTTAAATACCTGCTGGTCTCTGATTCTGGATGCATGACAGGGAACAGGTGACAGGAAACAGGCTCAATGACCTCTTCCTGACCTTCTATGGATTATATCACTCTCCTGGAAGAAGCCCAAGGGCATCTTTGGCATAAAGCATCAACAAAGTTTCATAAAACTTTTGGGAGCTGGGGTAGAGGTGGTGAGGGTGGTTTCATTTTAATTTCATGGGGGGACTATCAAACATTAGATCGGTATTTCATTATAATTAGACTGACTGAAGTGATTAAGAGCAAGATTCATTTCAACCCAAGAATGTAGTGGGAGCCAAAGGGTAGAGTAAACTCACTTAGGCTTCAAGTGGCCATGGGTTTGGAAAGAAAAACAGTACTGGAGGCAATTTTTCAAAATGACACCAATGAGGTAAGGAGACACAAAACTTCTGAGCCAGTAAATCACAGAATTTTTATTTTGAGAGAATAAAATTGTACCCTTTACGGGGACTTTAACTTTGCATAGTATCAGTTTTTCAATGTGTAAATGAATTTTCAGAGCATTCAATAGCCTCCCCGGGGAGAAAGACCTGCCTTAAGGACTTGGGGTGTTAGAGCACTCACAGTTTGGCATTCTGTCTTTTGTTGGGGGGCTCCTTGCTGGACAAAATCTCCAGGCGTTCTAGCTGGCTGAATATCTGGTCTATGCTTGCTTGGATTTCGTTTTCTACTACTGCACAAAAGAGAAAAAAGAATAATTGCTGGAAAAGAGATAGTGAGCTTAAATTAGAATGGTAAATCAAACATATCTTTTTCCATACCCAATAGACTCAAAATATATATTTCAAAAGGAGAAAAATGAATATGCTATTGAATAATAGAAAAAGTTCAAGTTATACTAAGTGACTCTGTAAATGTTGTTTCAAATATGTATATATAGCTGTTGATATAACAATGCCAATTTTTAAGAGGGTAAATCTGTAGAAATAAATTTCCTGCTGTTAGAAAATAAAATGAACATTTAAATGTTATCCAAAAAGTCTTTAAGCAAAAGTCAGTATTTTCTGATACAGCATGAGGTCTCTTTTCCTTTGAGATTATTCTCAGATATAGATTATAAATATCTAGTAAAAAGACTGCCAGTTGAATTCCCTATAGTAATAAGGTTAAAAAAAAAAAAACACCCCACACACAAAGGGGAAGATTAGTAATTGAAACAGAGGAGAGTTCCCTTACAGCTTTCCATAAGAATGGGTGGGCTGAAGCTGGAATCCCCAAAATAGACCAAGTATCAGTAGGAAAGGCCCAGGAAAGAATCCATAGCAGTAAAGATATGATAAACACAGTCATTTTCCTTATCCCTTGTGATAAACCGTCAAAATGGCCTCTTTTCCATTTCTAATCATGTAACGATGAGATTATTGGGAAGGCAAACAAAGTCAATGGACAGAAACTAAACTATGCACAAAAGCAGACTGCTTCTTGCCCCATAAACGAGACAGCGATGTCACCTTTGTAGGTTTGCTAACAAATACAGATTAGAACAAAGTGGGGCACAGAACCAAGAGAAGGGATGCTCCGAAGCTGTGGAAAGGAGACGGAGAAACGAGCATGGTGACAGTCAAGTGGCGAGGTGAGAAGGCAGCTTCTGCAGTGTGTGGGTAGCCAGCAGTGTGCATAACCGACTCAGAAAAAGGACCTTTTCTTATGATAGAAAAGACACTAAAAACCACAAAGCAGCCCTCTTCTCATAAGAAATTATGGTGTGGGAACTAAATTAATTAATATTGCTATTCATTTCTGAATAAGCCTTCTAAAAAGCCACAGTTCTCAGCTCAGAAGAAATGACCAATTCCAGTTAAACACGTCCGACTTTTTATGGAGCACATTCCTCTAAGGACGAGGTAATTAGATTAAGACGGATGGAGGAAAGAACTTCCACTCCCACAGGGCCATGTCAGGTTGAGTGGAGGGGTAATGGGGGATGCGACTTGGGGGATTCCAAAGGGCACAATCAGGGAAATCAGTGACTGTGCCACAGGGTTTTCTGCATCTTAACAACAGAACTCATTCCACGCTGAATCATTAAGCCCCTGAGGCAGAAAGGCAGTCAGGAAACCCAGCCCATTAGCACCGTGTCATCAGAGAAAGGACTCTGGTCTCCATAGCTAATTACTCACAGTGCACAGACTGCTTGTCTGCCGTCTCCAGGCGTCCCATGTGAGACTGGATCTGGTGGACCTGCCTATCAAAGGAAAAGGGAGGAAATGGGTGAGACAGGAGTAATCAACAGCGCTTCACAGGAAAGTCAATTTTTCTGATGCCAACATGTAACTGATTTAAATTGACAGCATCACTGAGCTGTAAAATTTGTATGTGGCACTTGAAGCCACATGCTTTGGCATGGTTTATAATATCTTAACATTAATATTAGTAATAATAATAATACTGACAGGCAGCATTTATTGTCTTCTCCCATCTGAGACATTCTGCAAAGTCAATACCCTATGAGGAAAGTATTATTATTCTCATTTTATAAACAAGACAACTGAAGTCCAGAAAGGTTATGTAATTTGTTCAAGGTCACAGAGCAAGTGATAAACCTCGATCTGGACCCAGCCAATCCCACTCTCTGTTGCTTGACCCAATGTGCTGAGCAATGGTCTGTACTGGGCAGAGTCAAAGGGTGAGAGAGAGATAATCCTTGTTCTTGAGAAACAATGTAATTAGGAATGACAGGCTAGATAGAAAAGTCCCAAGAAGATTTAAGAGAAAACTAACACATGCGAGTGTAAACAAACAGAAAGCCGAGGAGCGAAGCACAGTGGTGCACGCGAAGGCGAGTGAATGAAGGGCTGGGGCTGAGACAGAGGAAGCTGGAGTTTTGTGGGTGAAGGGAGCTCTGAACATCATTTTGAAGTAAGACGTGATTTGGTGAAGGAAGATATAAAGAAAAGTGATATGCAAAAAGGCATGCAAACCATGTCATGGGGATTAAAAGGACTCAGCCTGTCTGAAGAGTCAGGGTCGGAGGGGAGGGTGGATGAGGCGATTAGCTGGACCATCAGAGGAAGGCCCTCAATGAAAGGGATCTCCTACTTGGTAAACATTTTCCCCAGGCATATGAGGCTACTGCCATCTCATCTGGGCCTCTGGCACGGTCCCAGACATCAGGCTCCAGAGCACCCTCGGAAGGCTCCCCAAGGCATGGCCAACGTCACCCTCAGAACCTTTCCTAGTGGTCCCTGGGATTAGTCCTTGGAATTGCTTATGCTACCCCCAACAACCGCCTCCTGGTGCTTATAGTCTCTCCAAGTTAGAGCCATGTGAAAGGGACCTGCTGAGCTCTTATATCATCCCCAACTCGAGGGAAAGGTCACCAACCATCTTCCACCATGAGGACCACAAACTGTGACCACAAATGTACCAATGTGAGCCAGGAGCCCAAATTTGGTTTCTCTAGTCTTTTTCTGAGCTTTCCTGTGGCCTCTAAGCATGACCCACGGCACCAGAAGCAAGGACAGCCTTCTAATGACTCCCAGAGTGATCCCGGGCAAGACTCATGCCCCCTAGAAACCACTACTAGAATCTGAGAGACCAGACTGCGACTTCAGTAGGTAAGTCCAGACATTTTCGAATGGGGCACATGGAGACATGGAGGCAAAGGGAGAACGCAGCTTGAGGCAATGAACATCTGGATCAGGGTAACTGTGGAAACAGCTATAGAGGACTGGATGGTAATGCCGATCAAAGGGAGAATTAGAACTTCACTGAAGTCCTGGATGTGGGCAGAGAGGTAAATTTTCAATGGTAGCTTAACAGAGTAAATCTGAAAATTGGTGACATTATTGACAGGAACAGAAATAAAATGAAAAAAATGGAGAGGGGTGGAAAATAGCCAAGACCCTCTGAATAGGTATGAAAGGAATGACCTATCCTACCTGCTATTGAGACTTATTACAAAGACATAATAATGAAAACAATATGGTAATATGCAGGGAGAGACAGACAAAGATAGACAAACCCTAACCTTGACTCAAGAGGGAAGAGTAAAGGCCAGAAACAGTCCTACATATTTGGGGACTTGGTGACAGATGGGTGGGAAAACCATGAACTAGAATTTATTTTTTTTCCCTACAACGAAGGCACCATAAAATATAAGAAGACAGGCAGACACTGGAAGATATCTTCATTAGATAACAAAGGACTAATGTCGGGAATATATAACAAACTGCTACAAAGCAAAAGGAAAAGTCAAACAGCAATTTTTTAAAAATGAGCAAAAGGCAACTGACAAAAAAGGAAACCCAAATGCTCAATAAACACCTGAAGAGATACTCAACTTTATTAGTCATCAGTAAAGTGCAAATTAAAAATAAGGAGATATGTCCGGCTGGGCTCAGCGGTTGAATGTTGACCTACGAACCAGGAGGTCACGGTTCAATTCCCGATTGGATGACCGGGTTGCGGGCTCTATCCCCAGTGTGAGGCATGCAGGAGGAAGCCGATCAATGATTCTCTCTCATCACTGATGTTTCTGTCACTCTCTCCCTCTCCCTTCCTCTCTTAAATCAATAAAAATATTTTAAAAAATAAAAATAAGATATCACATTTCTCCTATTTGATTGGCAAATTTTTTTTAATTTATTTTTTTTTGAGATAGAATTTTTCTTTTTTTAAAATATATTTTATTGAGTTTTTTACAGAGAGGAAGGGAGAGGGATAGTTAGAAACATCGATGAGAGAGAAACATCGATCAGCTGCCTCCTGCACACCTCCTACTGGGGATGTGCCCACAACCAAGGTACATGCGCTTGACTGGAATCAAACCTGGGACCCTTCAGTCCGCAGGCCGACGCTCTATCCACTGAGCCAAACTGGTCTGGGTAATAGGCAAATATTTTAAAGTCTGATAACACACACTGATAAGGATGTGGGGAAACTAGAACTCTCATACATGGCCAGTAGGATTATTAAACTGGTAGAAACCCTTTTAGTAGCTTTTTGACAAAAACTGGTAGAGTGAAATATGTGTATATCCTATGAGCCAGCATTCCACTTCTAGGACTAGGGCCTTGAAAGGAAGAGAATGGGTGTGGGATTCAGTTCTACTTCTGTCTTTAAATACCTGAAGCGTATGTATTAAATATGAGGCCTAACACATAAGTTATATTATTCTCTATTTTTTTTAATATATTTTATTGATTTTTTACAGAGAGGAAGGGAGAGGGATAGAGAGTTAGAAACATCAATGAGAGAGAAACATCGACCAGCTGCCTCCTGCACACCCACCACTGGAGATGTGCCCGCAACCAAGGTACATGCCCTTGACCAGAATCGAACCTGGGACCCTTCAGTCCACAGGCCGACGCTCTATCCACTGAGACAAACCGGCTACGGCTATTCTCTATTTTTATGTTTGAAATATTTCATACATAAAATAACTAAATAGATTTTTTTTCAGATGTTGAATCAATGGTTTAACAAGGATCATTTATTTACTCACTCAGCCATTCGTTCATTCACTCATTCAACAAATGAGTGGGGTAGACAATCACAATGGTCCATGGGGAAATAAAACCACAGATGTGCTTATAGTGGGACAGGAGTAATAGGCTGAGGATACCACAGTAAGTTTATGTTTATCTCAGGAGATATTTGATAGCCTCTCAAGATATCCTGCAGTAAATTTGGTTTGATGATATTACAGGTTGAGGGACTGATTTCCAGTATTCCACCATAGCATTGCCTTTGGTTTTGTGTCATTCAATATTGAAAAAAAAAAAATCAACTTATGTTTATGAAACCTGCACATGATTTGTGATAGAATGAGGGGTTAAGATGTGACAAAACAAACATTAACATTTTCCATTTAGGCTAAAACGGGGGTTAAAAAGTATTCTGACTTCAGATGTAAAAAAAAAATAAAGTCAAATGCACATTATAAAATGCCATTCAATTCTGGGAGCCAACTGTTAAAGAAACCCTATCAATTAAAGGTTTTCCCCAATGGGAGATGAACAGGATGATTGAGGGAGTATTTAGAAATCAAGCCATGAAGACAAACCGTCAAAAGGGTCTTCCTGACCGGAGTGAGGTGAAATGGAAGATCTTGCCAGTCACTTTCAAATCTTAAATTCTATGAGGACAGCAGGAGAGATGAGGCCGATACCCACAAAACCCTCTTCAGCTGGCTTTTACTATTTCCTAAGCTAAAAAGGATCAACTTTAATAAGTTGCAGGGAAACATTACTGACTTTTCCCATCCAATCTCTTTTTGCTTCGAATGAACTAGAAAAAATATGGCCAATAAAGTGATTCCAATCTCTACATTTCATGCCTGAGAGGAAATATATGCAAAACAACAAAGCAAGTATGCATGGCAGGGTGGGAGCTACTATGTGCCAAGTGGAAAATCTGTTTTAAACTGAACTGGGAATTCAGACAACACACTTGAAGCCAGTAAGAAACAGATACACTAATAAGACCTGGGAGTGTGGACATTAGGAATCAGAAGTCCTAGATCTGTCTAGCATGGGGTTCATGGTGGGCTTGGGTGATAACTAAGCAGAGACCTAGGAGCAAGTAGGCAAGGGTCACTGTTGCTAATCTTTTTTTAAAGGATCAGTAGAAAATCTGGGAAGCTCTTTAAAACAGAATTGCTTTTTAAAAGTCCTTCCATGCTGCCTCTGACTGCCATATGGAAAGATCTGGGTTGAAGTTCTAGTTCCACTATATTCTAGCTAAGGGACACTGCACAAGTAATTTAACCCCTTGATGCCTCAGCTTCCTCAACTGTAAAACAGAGATACTAATAATCACAATTATTTAAAGGGTGGTAGATCCAAATGCAATACGAAAATGCTCTGTACCCTAAACAGCATCATACAAATTTGTTTTTTTAACCTTACTTATAAATAGTAAAACCGTCTGGTCATTTTCACCTCACCCACTTTGCCTCTACTACATAGTATTTAGCTTCTGATCAGAAGGCAAAATTAAAAATGGAAACACTGGTCTTGACATAAGGTAGAGTTCTTAAGTCCAGCTGCTCATAAAAATCACCTGGAGAGCTTGTTAAAAACACACAGAACAAAGCAGAGCTTCTTGTACTCCAGACCAACTGAATCGGAATTTCTAGGACTACAAGTGGGGCACCTTTACAACACTGCGATCTCAAAAACAGACGCCTGCCTACTGGCTCCTCTTTAAAGTTCATTCTAATGCAGTAAGTATAAGATGTTTATTCCACTTTTCTTTTTTTTTTTCTCCATTCACTGTTCAGGAGTTTGTAAGATACGTAACGTTAAAATGTTTATCTAATTCCAATGTCCTGTACATTGGAATTAGATAAACATTTTAAAAGCTATGTATCTTGCAAGAGATAATCACAAACTGGGTTCAAAGTTCCGGTAAAATTAATATGTTGTTAGTGTTGTGTCAATTCAGCTACAATCACTAATTTCTGCAACTGCGGAAGCTAATTTCTGATGCTCCCAGGGCTTGGTGTGTTTCCTGTGTTTTAAATCCTCACTCAAGGATATTTTTCCATTGATTTCTAGAGAGAATGGATGAGAGAGGGCAAGACAGAGAGTTGTTAAAGTAGGACTGGTATAGATATATACTAAAAAAAAATTGAAAACAGGGACTTAGATTTACACCAATGTTCATATTAGCATTATTCATAATAGCCCAAAGGTAGAAACCCAAGTATCCATCTGCAGATGAATGGATAACAAAATCTGGTTAGCGTTCACACACAGGATTATTATTCAACCATAAAAGGGAATAATATTTGATACATGGCACAACAGAGATGGACTTTGAAAACATGTGAAGCGAAATAAGCCATACACAAAAGGACGTATGTTGTATGGTTCCACTTACATGAGAAATCTAGAATAGGTAAATTCAGAAACACAAAGTAGAACAGAGGTTACCAGGAGCTTAGGGAGGGGAGATTGGGAAGGTGCTGCTTAGTGGGTACATCAAGTTTCTATTGGGGCTGATGAAAAAGTCCTGGAAATGAATAGCAGTGATGGTTACACAATTGTGAATGTATTTAATGTCACTGATTTGTACACTTAGAAATGGTGCAGGTGGTAAACTTAATGTTCTGTATATTTTACCACAATAAAAATGAAATAAATCATAAAACTTCTTTCCAAATAACAGGATAGGTGTGATCCCTATTACCATACTCAACTACATGTCTCAGCAAATTCCAAAAATGCAGGACAGTGTTAATAAAGGACTACCAAGGAATTTAAATTATGAGAAACTACATCAAAATTTGATCTCCTTAATGGTAATCTATAACTAAGTATGTAATACTGAATGCTACTTGTACAGCAATTTCTTTGTACCATAAAAATATGGTCTTTAGTATAAACCAAATCAGAAAAAAAAGGGAAAAAATCATAATGTAGCAACAAGTTTGGGGTCAATCAAGAATGGAGACTGACATCCTTTAGGTCCTAAAGGATGGTTCTCAACCTTCCTAATGCCGCGACCCTTTAATACAGTTCCTCATGTTGTGGTGACCCCCAATTTCATTGTTACAAATTGAACCTAATTAAAGCATAGTGATTAATCACAAAAACAATATGTAATTATATGTTTTCCGATGGTCGTAGGCGACCCCTGTGAAAGGGCCGTTGGACCCCTAAAGGGTCGCGACCCACAGGTTGAGAACCGCTGCAAGTTTAGGAGCTGCGAGCTATAATGAAACTATTTGACATTAGCCCACTCACTGATGGATCCTTCTAAGTTGCTTACGCTGATCTGTCTGTACAGCTGATTTTACCCTCCATCCTATCTATCCTGCCGCACGTCGGCTCTTCCTCTGTACTTTCCAACTAAACGGTAAACTCCTTTGGGCAGAGCCCTGTCTCCCACGAGCTCTAACAACCCGGAGCACTGAGTTGGCAGGTGCGAGACCGACTATTATAGCCGGTAGATGCAACTTTCCCTTCACTTAGTCTACTCAGCAGGTAGTCGCAGCCTCGAAGATCCCGGGGGCCATCCGGCACATCTTTTCCGGCCCCAAGCCAGACCCTCCACTCGCAGGTAGACCGGGGCATCCCGCCAGGATCTGACCACTTCCGAGCTGCCTCCAGCACTGCCCCGGCGGGAAAGACGGGGCCTCCCCAGGCCCCAGCTCAGGAGGCCAGTCTCACAGAGCCTGCCTTTGCCCCGCCCGTGCCCGACGCGACCCTCACTTGTGCGTTTGCTGGTACAGCGGCTCCATGGCGCCGGCCCAGCCGGGTCGGGCTCCGGCTTCCTCCGAACACGTCTTCACAGCCCTCCTTCCGGCTTTCGGCTTCCGGTCTCAGGACCCTCTCTCCCCTACCGGCTAGGGCTGCCCCCCCCGTACGCCTTACTGGTGGTGATTACCAGAGAAGGAAGGGGAACGAGAAAATAGGCCGGGAGAAGACGGATAACTGTAGTTAAAGGTTCGGCCTCAGATGGAGGACTAGGAGGTATAGGTTTTGGCGGGAGGCCGTCTGCAGCATTGAGTCAGGCAGTGGCGAGGGCAGCCTCAGAATACTGACGTGAGGTCCTCAGAGCAGGGTTGGAGCCGAATGGGCGGTTGCCTGCTCTTGCTTGCTGGAGGCGGGCTAGGCTTCGCATTCAGCTGTTAGGTTGTGGGTCTGGCGACGAGCTCTCCCCTGGAGTCTCTGGCACAAGCCTCTCCCATCTCAAATTGGCCTGCTCCCTTGCCCATGCACCTGCCCGCCCCCGCGCGCACACTATTTAGTCATCCAATAAGCCCACAATGCGTATTTACTATGTGTTATGTGTGTCGTGGGGGAAGCCAGGTTCCGCCTGCCCTCAAAGGGGTCGAAATCTGGGAAAGAGAATAAGATAGGCATACAAATAAACGTCTGCAAAGTCGAAAGTCCAGAGACACTGAGCGGAGCGGGCAACACCAACCGCGCTGGCAGGAGATTCAGGGAAGACGGCGGAGGAGGCGGCATTTGAATTCGGACTTGAAGGACATGGACCCTTCGGCCTCTGCACACAGGCCTCACCCACTTCCATCCCACTCGGCTTATCTGCGGTTCCTCCCAAGGGAGGGGACGTTCCTCTTCCTTTGAGAAGTTGATGCCACTATTTTCCTGTATCCTGGATCCCACCCAGTTTTCTGTCTCAAGAGACTGTCTATCGTGTACATTCTTTCCCTAACATTATTTTTCCGTTTATTCTAACATTTATTTATTAATGAGTACCTACTATTACAAGGCACAGATATTACCGGTAGGAATACGAGAAAGACAGCCCTCAAATCTCTCATCTCTCATTGTTGGGAGGGCTGTTCACGCCCTCAAGTTATATTATCAAGTAGAATACGTGCTGCAATTGATAGAAAGAACCATTTCTCTGGAGAAGAGCAAGTGTACATGGACTTTTAAAAATCGTGAATTAGGGATCAGCCGGCATGGTTCAGTGGTTGAGCATCGACCTATGAACCAGGAGGCCACAGTTCGATTCCTGGTCAGGGCACATGCCTGGGTTGCAGGCTCGATCCCCAATGTAGGGTGTGCAGGAGGCAGCCTATCAATGATTCTCTCTCATCATTGATGTTTCTATCTCTCCCTCCCTCTCCCTTCCTCTCTGAAATCAATAAAAATATATTTTGAAAAAATATGAATAGGGCCTTCAAGAATCAATAGAATTTTTTAAATGTCTTTTTCCCCCCCTCTACCCACTTTTTAAAATTTATTTCTTTACCACACAGGTGGCTCAACCCCATGGGTCAGTAGTGGATTGTCAGTAGTCCAGAGTTCTGAACTTATCCTGTATCCAATATGAATGGGAATCACCTCCAAATTAGCAAGTGAGTACCATTCTGGTCGCCTGATCTTGTGCAGTGCCACAAAAGAAATACTGTGCTGGCCAAGAGAAGCAAACTGCTTGCCAGATTGCCCTAGCAACTCATAGGCATGAGCCCCAAAAGCTTTTCAGGGCACCTGGTCGACCCCATGTATGTGGTGAAGGGTTCGAGAGTACCCTGAAGAGAAAAAAACAGACCAGGATAATCCCAACCACTGAAGGGGGACGTAGAGAAAAATCAAAAATAGCATTTCAAAGCGTGGGGGTCCCGGAGGCCCGGGACCTGGGCCAGGGTCTCTGCTTGCCTAGGTCTCAGGACAATGTTGGATTGTAGAATGAAGATGGTCTCATATTCTTTGCTGTTGTCCCCATTAAAAGGTGGAGTCTAATTCCATTCCCTCTGAATCTGAGCTGGCTTCAGTGACTTGCCCGACCAATAGAATGTGGCAAGAATGAAATTCTGGGACTTCCAAGGCCAGGTCATAAAAAACTTTGCAGCTACTACCCAGCCTCTTGGAACACTTGCTCTGGTCGCCCTGAGTCACCTTGGAAGAAGTCTGGCTTCCCTGAGGCCATGTCTGTAGATGTTCCAGCCAACATGCCCTGTTGAGCCCAATCTACCAGCCAAGACACCAGAAATGTAAATGAAGACATCTTGTACCCTCTGTTCTAGTCTACCCACCTGCTAAATTCCACAAAGTGACCTCTGCAGACTCTACATGAAACAGAGAACTGCTCAGCTGAGCCTCTTCCTGAATTCCTATCCCACAAAATCAAGAGATACAGTAAAATGGATGATATTTTAAGTCACCGAATTTTGGGGCAGTTTGCAGTAATAGGTACCCAATCTCAAAATGTTTGTCATCTAATTGGGGAGACAGGGTTCAGGGCTTATGAAAAGGTAACAATGCAAGAGAAGGTATAAATGTGCAACGAGTAGTAAATAATTAAGTTCTGTCAGAATGCAGAAAAGGAAGAGATTCCTTTGAATCTGGATGATAAAGGAAGGAAGACTTTCCAGAAGAGATGGGATTGCAGCTGGACCTTAAAATACAAAAAGTAGTAAGACACATGGAGAGGCAGGCACAGGGCATTCCTGGCAAGCAGAGAGGTAAAGCTGGAAGGTGTAGGTAGTCCCAAGAGGCAGCCTGTGTGGTCCCTCTTGGCCAGAGCAGAGGGTTTCTGCCACAGAGGAAAATGAAGCTGAATGAAGCAAAGTCATACCGCAGACAGAAAAAATGCTTTGTCTCTATCTTGTGGCCTTGGGAACTGTCTGGAGGGCTTTGAGCCTTGAGTAATGGGATCAAGAATATTTCAGGGAAATCACTATGATGACTTCATGCTCTCTCCTTCTATTTAAACTTCAAGAGATGCCCCACAGTTCTGTAGTTCCAGGATTTGACAACCAATCCATAGTCAGCCTGCTTGTTCCCTTTATAGTCTGATAAACTGGGAACACGTCCCTCTGAAGGGTCCTTTGGTTTGTCCAATTTGATGAAACAATTGGGATCTCTGAAACTACATTAATCTGTTGTGTCTCTCTGGCCATCTCAAGCAAATTCAATGGACTAATTCTCTTAACCCTTCTACCAAACCATCAATGCTCCCTATACTTCCCCAGCCCTGAGCTCCATCCCCTCTCACATACCTTCTGTTCCTGTTTCCTCCTGACTACCCACCCTTGCCCCTATTGTCTGTGCCACCTGTGCCAATGCTCAAGCACCACCTCGAACAATTGGTGCCAGCTTCACTTCCTCTACTAAACCATGAGAGCCTATTGAACGGTCCTCCTCATTCCTCACCACTCCCTTCCCTTTCCAATCCTCCTCCTCAATGTTGCCCAAAGATCTTTCTAACAAAGATTTGATGTCATATATACGTCAAGACTTTTAATAGCTCCCTGGTGCCTAAGAAACACACTTGGCAGCCCTCCTGACTGGCTGCAACCCTGGCCATTTCCCCTGTCCTAACTGGAGGAATTGCAGCTCTTCTCACAAAGGCCTCTGTGTCTTCTGGCCTTTGCATGCACTGTTCCCTGTGTTTCAAACACGTTCTCCTCTGCCTCAAGCCTGATTCACTCCTACTTTCTGGAGTCTCAGCTCTGGTCTCAGCTCCCTTGGGGTGCACCCCTGACATCCAGGCAGGGTTGAAACTCCTCCCCCTTGCTCCTCTGGCCCTTGGTGCTCCCTCTCAGCATTTGTCACAGATGTCCCAATTCTCTGTCCACTAACTGGAGGGCAGGAGGTGTCTCTTTCATTCTTGCATTTCTCCAGCATCTAACTCAGTGACTCATACAAGGTAGGTGCTTGTTGAATATCTGTTGACTTGAAATGCACTCTGTTTAATCAACTCACTCTCTTAAATAGTCTACCTTCCTGCCATGTCAGAAGCCCAGAATTATTTGGAAGTTGACTTTTTAGGCAGTTACAGACTGCCTGATCATGGAGCCATTCTCCTGCTGAAAGCGTCGTCGCGTGAAATCAGTGCAGAGTGCTAAAGGAAATGCTCCCCTTTTAAGCACTTTCACTGCTGTTTCTCATTCTGGGCTCATAACCACCTGGTGGGAGGCAGGACAGGCATCACCATCCTGGTTTGCTAGACAAACATGCTGAGCTGCCGAGAAATTAACTCGCTTTCCCAGGCTGGCCGTGGGAGAGGGGGGCTAGATCCCGGCTGCAGCCACACACTGCTCATTAGGTAACTACTGCATCATTCTGCCTCTTAGACCCAAAGAGGGCCTGGCCACAGGTAAGTAAGACACCTCTGACACTTCCACTTTGAACAGCAACAAAACCCTACTCGCCCCACCAAAGCCAGAGAAACATAATCTCACTGCCTCTGGCTTTGCTCCCCCAGCCCTTCGATTAAAGCTGAGCAGACGGAAAGGGTGACATTTCTGAACTCAGAGGCTGCAATGAGCTGGGAAAAACAAGCATCTGTGGCCCCTGCCGGGACCCACCAGGTGGAGGAGATATTGCCCCGGGTGCTGCAGGAGGTCGCCCAGGAAGCGGCCCTCCACGGAGAGTCCATCAGCAAATTGTCTCCTGTAGCCATAACAGCCAGGAGCAAGGTGGGGGAGCAGGGTTTTGTCCAAAAAGGGTCAATGTATTGTAAACATGATAAAAGGGGCTGGAAAGCCCCACTTATCACTGACTAATGTGTCCCCAGGTCATGGGGAGCCGGACCCCCACCAGCAGCCCTGAGCAAGGAAAGAGAACTCCCGATTAACCCCATCTAACCCCATCGCCTGTGAGTGGGGCCGGGGCAAAGGTCTGGCTCTTCCTCTTGCTGAGTGGTTCCCGTGGTCATCAGGCACTGGGGGGGCTCAGCGCGGACAGTTTGTAGGAAGCCCTCTGCCAGGTGCAGAAATGCCCCTGAGCCCCCTGCTTCTTGGGGCCACTTGGGTCAGGGTGGGTGTGTGGGATCCTTGGAAGGAGAGGAGGCCTGAGGAAGGCAGGGGTAGCATGAGGCTGGGGCAGCTGCAAGGGGAGGGT